TGTTATTTGAGGGGCTGCCCCAAAGAAGAGGGAGTCAAGCTATTCTCCAAAGCACCTGAAGGCAGGATAAGAAGCAATGGGTGGAAATTAATGAAGAAGAGAAGCAACCCAGAACTAAGGAGAAATTTCCTGACAGTTAGAACAATTAACCAGTGGAACCACCTGCCTCCAGAAGTTGTGAAGGCTCCAACACTGGAAGTTTTAAAGAAGACATTGGATAACTATTTTTCTGAAGTGGTGTAGGGTTTCCTGACTAAGGAGGAGGTTGGACTAGAAGACCTCCAAGGTCCCTTCCAACTCTGTTATTCTATATTCTCTATAACTTGGCAACTGCAAGACACATGGACTTCAACTCCCAGATTTCCCCTATTTTGCTTTTGAGGAAACTTTAAGAGGGCGGGAGGCAGAAAAGATGGCAGGGAGGGAGGGAGGAAGGACATGGCTGGCTGAGGAATTCTGGGAGTTGAAGTCCGCATGTCTTAAAGGGTCCGTGGGGAAGGAAATGGGGAGGGGGGGTGTAACCTGGAGTGCCAGCCTGCTGATATTGCAAAGATTGCTTCTGGCATTTCCTAAGTGGAGGTTCCCCCAGGGGGATGCAAAGGCTGCCGGCTTTGTTGCTTTCTGAATGATTTTGCCAGGTGTGCGACCAGCCTTGACACCTGAAATAGTTAGGATGAAAATGGGCTAATTTGGTTCTCATCTAAATTTGGCTTTAGCCCTTTATTTCTTATTAGATTTCCTTCTCTGAGAGAGCTTTTGTAAATGTCAGCCTGACTTGTAAAGCTCCTGGGAAGCCACCTGGGTTAAAGAGGGTGTAGAGGGAACCAAAATGAATTAAAGCCTAATACTCAATCAATTTGAATTTCCTTCCTTCCTCCCTCCCTTCCCAGGGGTGGGTTCTGGCAGAGACTACTGCCAAACTGGGAATACTGCTCAGGGTCGTACCGTGCCCGCATGCTAGATGTGCCCTACGAGTGCATGCACAGGACAACTAAAATTGTTCTGCGCAGAAGCAAAAAACACCGCTGGGAGAACCGGTTCGGGATCGTGGCAGGCCTGGATTGCTGCCGGTTCCAGCGATTCAGGCCGCCAAGCTACTACCGGTTCAGCCGAACCTGTCCGAACCAGTAGGAACCCACCACTGTCCCTTCCTCCCTCTCTCCCACCCTCCTTCCCTTCCTCCCCACTTCCCTCCCTTCCTTCCTACTTCCCTCCCTCCCTACTTCCCTCCTTTCCTCCTGCCCTCTCTACTTTCCTCTCTCCTTCCCTCCCTACTTCCCTCCTT